CCCACCCCCCAGCAGCTCCCAGCAGCTCTCCCAGTTCCCAGCAGCTCTCCCAGCAGCTCTCCTAGCAGCTCTCCCAGCAGCTCTCCCAGCAGCTCTCCCAGCAGCTCCCAGCACCTCTCCCAGCTCCCAGCAGCTCTCCCAGCTCCCAGGCTCCCTGCCAGGGCTTGACATTTCCGAGGGTGTGAACATGAGCCCTCAGCTCATCTCCACACGCACCGTGCTGGGAAGGAAAGGTCAGAGCTCACCATGGGCAGCTCAAAGCCCCAGCTCCATCCCTGGCTGGATTCCTCAGCCTGGGAGGAGAGCTGGGATAGGAGAAGGAAGAAGTTTGGAATGGGGAAGGTCTGGCAAGGGCTTCTGTGACCAGGTTGCTTTTGGGTTTCTCAGTCCTAGCCTGGTGAGCACCTCCTGGGGTTGCCTGCCTCCCAGTTTTGCTGGTGCTTTCAGAAAACATCAAGATTCAGGGGTGATGGGGGCCACGTTCTCACCTGCCACCCAGAGGAAACATCTGTCTTCCCATCACTGGGGCTTCCTACACCTCTGTCCCTCACTGATGCTGTGCTAGGAAGGCAGAGAGACCCTTGGATTTCGGGGCACCTTCCCACAGCCCAGCTGGGGCTCAGGGTCCCTGCCAGCCACAGGGAGGGACATCCACGCAGGATGTGGCACCAGAGGTGGTGGAGGGGGAAATCATGTCTCCTGAAAGAGGAGAAAACAGTCTTCTTGTGAAAAAAAAAAGAGAAGGAAAGATAAAAATTCCCTCCTCCCCATCCCCTGTGCCTCTCTCCTTCCGTTACTAAGCAACTGGTTTTTGATCTTCCTGTCTCTCTTCTTGCCTTTGATTCCCAAGTGAAGTCATTAAAATGTCTGGAGGGATGAAACTCATGTTTCAGGTTCTGCCTGTCTGGGGAAGGAGCCCCTGGGGCCGGGGTCCCCTGGGGACACCCAGCAGGTCTGGAGGGATCTGCTGGGGCTGAGCCAGGAGGGACCCACGGGTGGGTCCTGAACCTGACCCTGGGATGGGGCAGGAGCAGAAGGGACCAGGAGGGATGGAGCAGGAACAGAAAGGACCAGGAGGGATGGAGCAGGAGCAGATGGGACCAGGAGGGATGGAGCAGGAGCAGATGGGACCAGGAGGGATGGGGCAGGAACAGAAAGGACCAGGAGGGATGGAGCAGAAGGGACCAGGAGGGATGGAGGGATGGAGCAGATGGGACCAAGAGGGATGGGGCAGGAACAGATGGGACCAGGAGGGATGGAGCAGGAGCAGCTGGGACCAGGAGGGATGGAGCAGGAGCAGCTGGGACCAGGAGGGATGGAGCAGGAGCAGCTGGGACCAGGAGGGATGGAGCAGGAGCAGCTGGGACCAGGAGGGATGGAGCAGGAGCAGCTGGGACCAGGAGGGATGGAGCAGGAGCAGCTGGGACCAGGAGGGATGGAGCAGGAGCAGCTGGGACCAGGAGGGATGGAGCAGGAGCAGCTGGGACCAGGAGGGATGGAGCAGGAGCAGCTGGGACCAGGAGGGATGGAGCAGGAGCAGATGGGACCAGGAGGGATGGGGCAGGAACAGAAAGGACCAGGAGGGATGGAGCAGAAGGGACCAGGAGGGATGGAGCAGGTCCATGCCAGCTCCAGCCCTGACCTCTGCTCTGCCCTCAGCCCTTCACAGTCTCTGCCACGAGGACCCGAGGTGCTGGTGCCCGGCGACCATCCCTGCTCCAGAGGAACCTCTTGTCCTTCTGCCACGAGGCTGAGTCCCCTCCAGCCCCCCAGGGGCTGCAGCAAGTGGTCCCAGGAAGGGGCTTGGGAGCTCTGGATGCCAGAGGTGGCCTGAGGTCTTCATCAGACAGCAGGAGCCCCGGGGACATGGGTAAGTGAGCAAAGAGGGAGGCACCACCAGACTCACCAGCCGTGGTGGGGGTTGGGGGTGTTGTGTCATGTTTGGTGCCACCCTGTGAAAATTAGGAGGTGTTAGCAGAGAATCCCAGAGTAGCTGGGGTTGGAGGGACCTTAATGCTTGTCCAGTCCCACCCCCTGCATGGGCAGGGACACCTCCCACCAGCCCAGGCTGCTCCAAGCCCCATCCAACCTGCCCTTCAACACTGCCAGGGATGGGGCAGCCACAGCTTCCCTGGGCAACCTGGGACAGGCTCTCACCACCCTCACACCAAAGAATTCCCTCCTCATGTCCAACCTCCATCTCCCTCTTCCAGTTTTCATCCATCCTCCCTTGCCCGCTCCCTCCCTGCCCTTGTCCCAAGCCCCTCCCCAGCTTTCCTGGAGCCCCTTCAGGCACTGGAAGCTGCTCTAAGGTCTCTCCAGAGTCTTCTGATGATGGTTTCATGGGGACAGGGGGGGAATTCAGCTCCCATGGATGTGATTCATCACCTCCCTCTCCCCTCTGCAGAGTCTGCCCAACATCCTTCCTTCACATTTGAAACAGAGACCTCCTCAGACTGGGAGCAGCAGGACTTGGACTTGAGCACTTCCCAGGGCTCCCCCAGGACCCTCTGCAAGGTGGTGGTGAAGGGGCTGAGAAGCAACGAGCCCGTGCAGTGGGAGGTCACCTTTGATATCCACCCACTCTTCCAAGAGAGGGAGAGCCAGGGGGATGATGACACAGACCTGTGGAACGAGACCTTCCACCACCTGGCAGCCAGGTCTGTCATCAGGGACTTGGAGCTGCTGGCCCAGAAGGAGAGTGAGATCGAGCACGGTAACGTGGCCTGGAGCTGCCCCTGCCCTGGGGCTTCAGCAGCTTCAGCAGCCTCCACCCCAGCCCAGGCAGTGGGGAACTCTCAGAGAATCATGGAATGGGTTGGAAGGGAGCTTAAAGATCATCCAGTCCCACCCCCCTGCATGGGCAGGGACACCTCCCACCAGCCCAGGCTGCTCCAAGCCCCATCCAACCTGCCCTTCAACACTGCCAGGGATGGGGCAGCCACAGCTTCCCTGGGCAACCTGGCCCAGGCTCTCACCACCCTCACAGCCAAGAATTCCCTATCTCACATAGTTCTCACATCACAGCTGCCTTGGGCTTTTCTCCTGCTCCTCAGCCTCTCTGCACATGAACCCACTCAAGCTCCTTTGTGCTCCTCTGCTCCCTGTGCTGGGGGACAGGTGTTATTTCCCCTGTGCTTGGCACAGGTGAGGTCACCCCTTGAGTCCTGGGGTCAATCCCATGGCAAGAAGGACATGGAGGGGCTGGGCAGTGTCTTTGTAACTGCCCGAGGAGGTTGGAGCCAGGGGGGTCGGGCTCTGCTCCCCAAGAACTTGTGATAGAACAAGAGGAAAGGGCCTCAAGCTGCCCAGGGGAGGTTTAGGTTGGACCCTGGGAACAATTCCTTCCTGGGAAGGGTTGTCAGGCCCTGGCCCTGGGGAGAGTCCCCATCCCTGGAGGGGTTTCAAAGCCCTGGAGATGGTGCTGAGGGACATGTTAGTGGTGGCCTTGGCAGGGCTGGGTTAATGGTCAGACTGGATGACCTTAAAGGTCTTTTCCAACCAAAACAATCCCTTTATTCTAATTTTAAGGAGTTGGACACCTGGGGCTGTGAGGTGGCATCAAGCTGAGAGGGTCCCACAGCAGCCACAGGTCCCTGCTCTGGGCTGCACGTGGCCCTTGTCCAACTGCTGCATCAAGGGCATCTGTGTGTGCAAAACCAGAGCAGAAGCAGCAGCAGGCAGAGCTTAGAGGGACAGAGTCCTGGGGGTGGGGCTGGGAGCTGGGTCTGAGGGGCTGGTGGGACCCCCAGGGGGGACCCTGACCCCAACCCTGGTGTCTGTGCTGTGGCAGGGTCTGGGAGGAGGTACCAGCTCCACGCTGTCCACACCAGCAAGGCCTGCAATGTCATCAGCAAGTACACAGCTTTCCTGCCCGTGGACCTCAGCACCAACACCTGC